TTCCATGGACCTCCAGAACCAGGGGGAGGCAATAGAGGACTGATCTGCAGAGCATTCTAGCCTGAACTGACCCCCAAAGACATGCTCACTTCAGCTAGTCTGTGAGCCAAGCTAAATGTACCTATCTAGCACACTAGAGGGTGCTACACGTGTGATGTAATATATGTTTGCATTGTTTCCAGCTCTCTGTGGATTACAAAATGCCTCATACTATGATATGTAGAAAAGAAGAGTGTGAGGTGTTCTGTAGTCCAAAAACAATTCATCTCCTAGAGTGGGCAGTACAGTAAGTGAGTGTTGTCACCTTAGAACAGGAAGTATGTTACAGTCAGGATCACGGGTGAAGTGCAGCCACAACATGTAAGGATTGGTAAGCTGCAATATATTACATTTTTGGTCTTGGGTTTAGATACATATTAAAATAAACTTGGCCTTCTCCCTGGGACCTGATAGAACTTATAAAGGAAAATCCCAAGGGAAAAAGGAGGTGTAATACTTACTAGCAACGGGTATTGAATAAAAGTTCATGTAGGTCCAGTCTGTAAAATTTTCTTCCATCAGAAGTCTGAAACTCATGTTTGTGCTATGACTCAGATCCTTCACATCACATCTCCCTTTTACAACACAACCCCCCTTTACATCAGTGTCTTCAGTCCCCCATTCACAACACAACATCCCAGTCATACCACTGCCTCCTTTACATTGCAGCACCTTCCTTCCTTCACAACACCACCATTTACATCACAGCTTCCCCCTTTACATTGCAACCCCCCTTTGCATTACAGCCCCCCTTTTTGCATCACAGTGTCCCCCTTTACATCACAGCCCCCAAATCACATTACAGTCCTACCTTTTCATCAGAGCCCCTGTTTATTTCACAATGCTCACTTTACAACACAGCCCCCCCTTTTTACATCACAGCACCCCTCTGTACATCACAGCCCCCCTTTACATCACAACATCCACTTTATATCACAGCCCCACCTGTACATCACACTGCCTCTCTTTACATCACTGCCCCTTTTTACATTATAGCCTGCCCTTAAATCACAGTACCCCCATTTAAAGCCATACAATTTACTTCACAGTGCCCCTCTTTATATTACAGCACCCCCCTTTACATCACAGTCCCTTCCCCTACATTACAGCCCCTCCTTTGTAACAGTGTCCTCAATCCCCCCATTTTACATCACCCCCCCCCCCCCTTTCCAGCCCTAGCAGGGCAGAAGGCAGGAAGTACAACAGATCTGGATGGAGGTTGGGAGCTTCCCAACTTTTCCTGTTAACAAGTGGTTGCTTGGTTGCAAGGACTGTCCCAAGCTGCAGCAACCAATCAACCACTTGTGAAACCTCCTGCACTTTGCCCTGCTGTGAAGATGACAGTAATGCCAATGAAGCAACAGCAGTGGTGGGGGAAGAGAAGACTTTTTATGAGTTGTGAAGTTCTGTGCATGCTTTTACTCATAGGCCTCCTTCGCAAGGGTGATAAGAGGCATACAGTGGATTCCAGCAGCAAGAATCAGCAGATGGTTGTGGCTGGGAATACAGGTACAGTGGGGAAAATAATGATTTGATCCCCTGCAAATTTTGTAAGTTTGCCCACTTACAAAGAAATGAAGGGTCTCCAATTTTTATCATAGGTGTATTTTAAATGATAGAGACAGAATATCAACTAAAAATCCAGAAAAAACACATGATACAAATTTTATAAATTGAGTTGCAGTTCAGTGAGTAAAATAAGTATTTGATCCCCTACAAACTGACAATAATTCTGGCTCCAACAAATTGGCTATGTACTCATGTGGTACACAGATTAGTCCTGTCAATTTAAGAAGGTGCTCCTAACGACAACTCATTATGTGTATAAAAGACACCTGTCCACAGAATCTCTTTCTTCCTTACCATCATGGGCAAGACCAAAGAGCTGTCAAAGGATGTCAGGGACAAGATTGTAGACCTGCACAAGGTAGGAATGGGCTACAAGACCTTCAGGACGAAGCTTGGTGAGAAGGAGACAACTGTTGGAGCAATTATTTGCAAATGGAAGAAATACAAAAAAAACATTAATCGCCCTTGGTCTGGAGCTCCTATGGATTGAAATCCTGCAGTGCCCGCAAGGTCTCCCTACTCAAGAAGGCACATGTACAGGCCCGTCTGAAGTTTGCCAGTGAACATCAAAATGATTCAGAGAAGGATTGGGAGAAAGTGCTGTGCTCAGATGAGACCAACTTGAGCTCTTTGGCATTAACTTGACTTGCCATGTTTGGAGGAAGAAAAATGCTGACTATGACCCTAAGAACACCACCCCTACAGACAAGCATGGGGCTGTTTCTCTGCTAAAGGTACAGGCCAACTGCCTCATTTGAGGGGCCAATGGATGGGGCCATGTATTGTAAAATATTGGAGTGGCTAAAGAAGAAGCACATTAAGGTTATGGAGTGGCCTAGCCAGTCTTCAGACCTTATTCCTATTCAAAATTTATGGAGGGAGCTGAAACTTCGAGTTGCCAATCGACAGCTAAGAAACCTTAAGGATTTAGAGAAGATCTGTAAAGAAGAGTGGACCAAAATCCCTCCTGAGATGTGTGCAAACCTGGTAACTAAATACAAGAAATGTCTTACCTTTGTGCTTGCCAGCAAGGGTTTCTCCACCAAGTACTAGGTCATGTTTTGCTTGGGTATCAAATACTTATTTTACTTACTGACCTGCAACTCAAGTTGATGTATATGGAACTGTGAGGCCACAAACATCTGTTGTCTTATGGCATGCCATGGGATGTTAAAGCTTGGTTTGGTGCGGCACGGGAAAATGAACACTTCTCTACCTCTGGGACGCATCTATTAACTACTACCGACCGCAGATAGCCGAATGACGGCTTCACTGCGGCCGGCCAGTTCTGAGTGGACGTCATATGACGTCCTCCCAGAACGCGCTCTCCTGCGCGCCCCAGGGGGCGCGCACCCGGCGATCTCCGTGATCGCTGTGTCCTATGGACACAGCTGATCACGTGATGTGGTAAAAGGCCAATCACAGCGGCCTTTTACCACGTGATCAGCGGTGTCCAATGACACACTGATCAGAGGGAAATGCAAGTGCCGGTTCTCGGCTGCACTTTCCTCACGCTGTCAGATCGTGAGGAAAGTACTGCCGAGAACCGGCAGTTGTCAGAGCGAGGATCGGCACCGATCATCAGGGCACTGATGATCAGTGCCCTGATGATCGGTGCCCAGCAGTGCCACCCGCAAGTTCCGCCCACCTGTGCCCAGCAGTGCGCCCACTAGCTCCGCCCACCTGTGCCCAGCAGATCACCCACCTGTGCCCAGCAGTGCACCCACCTGTGCCACTCTGCAGTGTCACACACACCTGTGCCCAGAAGTGCCACCTACCTGTGCCCAGCAGTGCCACCCACCTGTGCCCACCCACCTGTGCCCACCAGTGCCACCCACCTGTGCCCACCCACCAGTGCTTCCCACCAGTGCCACCCACCAGTGCAGCCCAGCAGTGCTGCCAGTCAGTGCCACCAGTCAGTGCCCAGGGGTTGTGCCAGTCAGTGCCGCCAGTCAGTGCCCAGCAGTGATGCCAGTCAGTGCCGTCTATCAGTACCCATCATCAGTGTCACCTATCAGTGCCGCCTATCAGTGCTGCATATTAGTGCCGCCTATCCGTGACACCTCATTAGTGCTGTCTATCAGTGCCCTTTAGTGCTGCCTATCAGTGCCCATCAGTGCCGCCTATCCATGCCACCTCATTAGTACTGCCTATCAGTGCCCTTTAGTGCTGCCTATCAGTGCCCATCAGTGCCGCCTATCAGTGCCCATCAGTGCTGCCTCATCAACGCACATCAGTGAAGGAGAAAAAATACCTGTTTGAAAAATTTTATAATAGAAACAAAGAAACTTTTTTTTTTTTCAAATTTTTTGCACTTTTTTTATTTATAGCGCAAAAAGTAAAGTGCCCAGTGGCGATTAAATACCACCAAAAGAAAGCTCTATTTGTGAGAAAAAAATGATCAAAATTTCATATGGGTACAATGTTGCACGACCGCGCAATTGTCAATCAAAGTGCGGCAGCGCTGAAAGCTGAAAATTGGCCTGGTAAATAAGGGGGTATAAGTGCCTGGTAGGCAAGTGGTTAAAATCTATCTTAAGAAAACATGAAACCTGAATTTTTAACTTAACATGATAGTTGCCTGGCTGTCATTCTGACCATTTTGCTTCTATACTTTAGAGTCACAAAAAAAGAATGCTGATAAGGATTACTGATTTTGCACATACTTAATGGCTTGGCAAGTATTCAAGTCATCGGGTGAGCTAACAGCCAGGCATCTAGTATATTTCACAAGGGAGGTGAGCAATGGCAGCCCCATAGTTCTCTTTAAACACTTGCTTACATGGCACTTATACCCCCTTCCTGCCCAGGGCAATTTTCAGCTTTCAGCGCTGTCACACTTTTAATGACAATTGCACGGTCATGCAACACTGTACCCATATGAAATTTGTATAATTTTTTTGAGACAGATAGAGCTTTCTTTTGGTGGTATTTAATCATCTCTGGGTTTTTTAGTTTTTGCTAAACAAACCAAAAACCACTGAAAATTTTGAAAAAAAAATTTTTTTTTCTTAGTTTTTGTTATAAAATTTTGTAAATAAGTGATTTTTCTCCTTCACTGATGTGCACTAATGAGGCTGCAGTGATGGGCACTGATAGGCTGCACTGATGGACACTGATAGGTGGCACTGATGAGGAGGCACTGGTAGGTGGCACTGATGGGCATTGAGAGGCATCACTGATGGGCACTGAAAGGCAGCACTCATAAATGGCACTGATAGGTGGCACTGATAAGCAGCACTGACTGGCACTGATAGGTGGCACTGACTGGCACTGTTAGGCGGCACTGATAGGCGGCACTGACTGACATTAATAGGCGGCACTGACTGACACTGATAGGCAGCACTGACTGGCACTGATAGGCGGCACTGATTGGCAGCACTGATTGGTGGCACTGACTGGCATTGATAGGTGGCACTGACTGGCACTGATAGGTGACACTGGAAGGCAGCTCAGATGGGCACTGATATGTGGCATTGATGTGCACTGGTAGACACTGATATGTGGCATTGATGTGGCAATGATGAGCACTGGTAGGTGGCATGGATGAGCACTGACAGCTGGCATTGATGGACACTGACAGGTGGCAGTGCTGGGGCTACATTGGTCATCAGGGCACACTGATCATCAGTGCACATGTCCCCTCTGAGGGATGCTGATTACCGGCTCTCCTCTCCTCTCCTCTGTCAGCGTGACAGCTCATGCGGAGAAAAATGCTGATAACCGTCATTTCCCTATTTACATGCGATCAGCTGTGATTGGACACAGCTGATCACTTGACCGAGCTGACATCTTCGGCTCTTTCTGTTAATCGGTGATCCGCTGTGTCCTAGGGACACAGGTCACCACCGATCGCCGTGCTGTGCGCTCCCGGAGCCACGCATGCATGGTTAGAATGAGAAGACGTCGTATGACGTCCTTCTAGAACAAGAGAACTGCCTTGCGCCCATCATTACCTTATATGGCGGGCAGGAGGCGGTTAATAAGATGGGGTTGCCTCAAGTTCTTGGAATAGGTAAACCTATGCAATGCCTCATGGCTCAGTCATGTCCCTCCTTAGAGAACCTAAGAGTGCTTGCACACCTTGGTGAACTGTTGCACCAAGCTGATTGAATCATGACTCCAACACGAAAGATGTCAGTTGAAACAAAGAAGAGGATTATAAAACTTCTTCAAGAAGGTAAATCATCATGGAATGTTGCAAAAGATGTTGGTTGTTCCCAGTCAGCTGTGTCTAAAATCTGGACCAAGTACAAATCAAATGGGAAGGTTGTAAAAGGGAAGCGTACTGGTAGATGAAGGAAAACATAAAAGCGTCAAGATAGAAAACTTAAAGCAATATGCCTTGAAAACAGAAAATGCACAACAAAACAAATGAGGAACAAATGGGTAGAAACTGGAGTTAATGTCTGTGACTGAACTGTAAGACATCGCCTAAAGGAAATGGGATTTTCATACAGAAAAGCCAAACGAAAACCATAATTAACACTTAAACAGAAAAAAACAAGGTTACAGTGGGCTAAAGAAAAGCAATCATGGACTGTGGATGACTGGATGAAAGTGATATTCAGTGATGAATCACAAATCTGCATTGGGCAGGGTGATGATGCTGGAACTTTTGTTTGGTGCCGTTCCAATGAAATGTATAAAGACGACTCGTCTTGGTGATGTAGTAGTTGAGAGGAGACCTGGCTGTGTGTTGCACTTGTTCTACAAACTGACAAAACATCTACAGCTGGACGCTGCTAACCCTGGGGATGAATTATGGACATGTTTGATACAGCTTGAGAGTGGAGCTACGGAAGTTGGGCTCCAACAAGCGCGCCCTATACAATATACATTTTCTCAGCAGATGCTGGGCTGAGGGCCTTCAAAATATATGTTAAAAGGATATTTGCTGGAGGGCATCATCTTAAAATCTAGTTTGGAGAAGGATGTTTGTCTCTGTCGCTGATGACGGTCACCTGGAAGCTGGGTGGTAGCAGCTGTCCTCGAACATTGTAACCTAGTTGACAACCTCCACTCCAGCGTTATCAGTATGCCTGGAATCATTGTTCACTTGTAAACCACAAAGGTGTTGTACCATGGAGGAGTACCTTTTTGCAGAGTCCTTTACTGAGAACTCAGGCCTTTTACCAAGAGGAGGAAGACCCCCTTTAAGCAGGTGACCCCTTCCGTCCATCCAGCTGTAGGAGACCTCTGGCTACCTGGATCTGCTTTGGATAAGCTCTGCACCCTTGATTGAAGATCAACCCATTTTTGACCAGATCTCTCCTTGATTTAGGAACAATGGGCTTTGATGCATACCGCTTACTTATATCTGTCTTCTGGTGAGTGCGCATTTCTGCTTTTCTTCACGGATCGCCACCATTGATTTCTACTTGTCACCTGGCACGTTTTTATGAATTAGACTTTAGTGGACTTTTTTGCAGACTTTATTATCTAGCGCTGCACTTTTGTTGATATTACTCTGTTTAAGTATATATTGGTTGCTTAGAGTGCTTAGCTGCTTTTTTGGATTAGCGCTCACTCTTTTTATTATATACATAGTATAAAGACGACTGCCTGAAGAAAACATGCAAATTTCCACAATCATTGAGGATATGGGGTTTATTTATTGATTTATTTCAGGTACTTATATAGCGTCGTCAATTTACGCAGAGCTTTTACATATATATTGCACATTCACATTAATCCCTAACCCTCAAGAGGCGTACAATCTAAGGTCCCTAACTTACATTCATGTATACACATACTAGGGCCAATTTAGATAGGAACCAATTAACCTACCAGCATGTCTTTGGAGTGTGGGAGGAAACCGGAGTACCCGGAGGAAACCTACGCAGGCACAGGGAGAACATGCAAACTCCAGGCAAGTGGTGCCGTGGCTGGGATTTGAACCAATGACCCGAGTACTGCCAGGCAAAAGTGCTAACCATTTAGCCACTGTGCTGCCCTGGTTGCTTGTCAGGTAAAGGTATGGGAGAGATGACAGTCATTAAATCTTCAATAAATGCACAAGTTTATATTGAGATTTTGGACACTTTCCTTATTCCATCAATTGAAAGGATTTTTGGTGATGATGACATAATTTTTCAGGATGATAATGCATCTTGCCACAGGGCAAAAAAACTTTCCTTCAAGAAAGACATATAGGGGTTTATTTACTAAAGCTGGAGAGTCCAAAATCAGACTCCCTTCTGCATAGAAACCAATCAGCTTCTAACCTCAGCTTGTTCAATGAAGCTTTGGCAATGAAACCTGGAAGCTGATTGGTTTCTATGCAGAAGGGAGTCTGATTTTGGACTCTCCAGCTTTAGTAAATAAACCCCATAATGTCAATGGCATGACCTGCAAATAGTCTGGACCTCAATCCAATTGAAAATTGATGGTGGAAATTAAAGAAAATGGTCCATGACAAGGCTCCAACCTGCAAAGCTGATCTGGCAACTGCAATAAGAGAAAGTTGGAGCCGGATTGATGAAGAATACTGTTTGTCGATAGTTAAATCCAAGCCTCAGAGAATTCAAGCTGTTATAAAAGCCAGAGGTGGTGCAACAAAGTAATAGTGTTGTACTGTAGTGTTTTTTTTGTTATGATTCCATAATATTTTCCTCAGAATTTAGTGATTCCATATTTTTTCTTCTGCTTGATCTGCAAAAACAGTTGCAACTGACTACTGTTTTCTTTCTTTTCTTTTTTTTTTTTTTTAAGTGTTTCTTAAAACCAGAAGGTTGGAATGTTAAATGAATAGTTCTGAGGCATGTCTGCGATAAATTTTTTTCCTATACAATTAAACAATTGAATGAACATTTAAATTTTCCAAGAGTGGTGATTCCATACTTTTTGCCAGGGGTTGTATAAGTGACAGGTACACTTTGTAAAAGAAACTCCATCAGCATTTAACATATGAAGCCTGCCATTATGGCCTGGAAAGGGAAGTCTCTTTGAACATCTTCAGATACAATAAAGGGGCATCAGTTTGCATTCCTCTTCCCCTGCAGAGAGCAAAAGCAATTAGAAAAAACCTACACCCAAATAGCCAGCAGTGATTCAACCTTTATCCACTTCATAATAGAGGCGGCTTCCCCTCGGGGTGCCACACTTGCGAGCAATGAATACACTTCCCGGGTGAATGAACATGGAGCTTCTAACTGGTCCCCTCTCCATGCATCAGTGTCCACTTTAAATTAATTTATTTTATTTATAATTTTGTTCAGCCCAGCCTCATTATTTTCCAGGCCACTGGGTGTCAGCTCAGGTCTTATTTCTCAAAGCATCCGATTACAGAGTTGTGACTGTTTTGCATAATTCATTCATATTATGTATAGCGCTAACAAAATAGTCATTGTGACGGCTGTTTCTTTTTCTACGGCCCTGCCGATTTTGCATATCAAGCAAGGGAACAAGGGACTTTTGGTTAATGGTGTTTGCCGTGTATAACAGAGGACCTACTATCATGGGGTTTCTCGGTCAATTCCAGTTTGATATATGAGGTTATTATATGCAGGTAATGAATGCTAAGTGGAGCCTGTCACCTACTCTTTGCCTCAAGGACCCACAAGTCCCCAGATAGAGTCTTGCAGTAGAGCAGTCCTGGGTGTCAGTGCTGATTTGTGTATGTATGTGGTTTGTCGAACGGGGCTGTTGTTCTACAGACCGTGAAGACCTTCTATAAATTGATAGATCTTTAATGGGGAGAACACAGTTAAGCAATTCATTCCTTTTCTGCGACATTAAGAATAAACATATCATTAATCTCAATGTATTTCCACATTCTTCAAAGTTGAACTGTTTTAATGGGGCATTATTTCCCCTCTGGGACTGAATGCTTTATTGGAATAAGTTTCCAGAATGACTGGGTGGTAATTTCTATTTATGTTCATACAAGTTTTTCTATCATGAAGCACAGAGTAAATATTGTAAAAAAAACCCCCCAACAATATCACAGTGGAAATGCATTCTGTTCCTAAGAATGGCCAGATCATTAGATACATTTGTCAATTTCCTAAACATTTAGTCCATCTATAGGCATTATTAATATAGTTTTAGAAGAAAAGGGAAATATCTGAACTAGATCTGAATGTGAACCTGTAAATGTGTGTAGATATTGTCATTGCAGGGGTTCAGGGCTGCATTTATGCTTTGTATTTTTCATGATTAATATACAATTTAGTACAAGCCCTGTCCCTTGTTACATGCAATTATTTTATGTAAAACTAATGGTAGAATTAAGAAAGAATAAGGTTTGTTATATCCTCAGTCATTATTAAGCCAAACTCCAGCCTTTGACAGACCCCCTGACAATGTCATCTGTGGTGAAATGCGTAGGATGACATCATCATGCACACTGGATTGAGTGACCATCGGGTTCAATATTGTTAGCCCATAGGAACGCCAAATTACGATACATGCCCTGATGCCTGTAGGCTTTTCCAATGCTGTGAATGTGCACTTTACTTTTCCCAGTAAAGCAATCCAGATGGTTTTACACTATGGGATGACCTATTTACCTTTTATTTTTGAGTTTTTGAGTGTTGCTGTGGCTGCCTGTCTTGCATTGAGCTTGTGAAGGAGATCTATTTTCTGGTTGGATACTTAATCCCTTAAGCGCTGAATGACCACTTACTGAATGTTATGGGCATTGGGATCTGGTAAGCAGCTGATGTGTGTCCTTTCTGGTTGGGATGCATGGATTTGCTTGGCACACCTGGGTGTTTTGCTTTTGCAATTTTCTGAAGATTTTGGTTTGTCATTATTCACTATACACAGACTTTATCGGATTTCCCTATGGGAATAAGTGGATACTTATCGATCAACGTTTATCGAG